TTCCAGCTTGTGGAAACTATGAAGTAGCTGCTATGTCATTTGCAGACCTTGAAGCTCTCTTTTGTTTTTCTTTTTTATCACTGTTCTATCATTCAGATAGTTTTGTATTGAGGATTGACTCTATATTTGAGATTCAGTAGTGGTCATGTACTCGTTGACACCAGATCATGGGACGGTTATAGCTACGTTATTGTTGTTATTTCAGATATTTTATTATTATCACGTTGTTGAGACTTATTTAGTCCCATTATTGTTATTATTGCTATTGTTTAATTTTTGGCTTGCCTAGTAAGAGATATTAGGTGTCGTCTCGACTCCGGTGGGATTTTGGACCGTGACACTATGTCTCAACATTTTCCATGCACTACTCACCATAAACTTTCCAAACGATGTTGGCATCCACCAAGGTTTGTCCCAGAATTCATCACTATTTTCAAAAGGTACTTCATGTCTTATATGATCTAAAATGTCTGCTGGAAATGACTGATCCAATAATTGCTCGTTCCAACCATCATCATCCCTCGAGTCGGCCACCTCTTGCAATTCTTCATTGATGTAAAAGTCTGGAGGTACTACATGATATAAAGCACCAAGTCTAGTCCAGTTATCATGCCATACATTAGTAAAACCCCTCTTCATCTCCCACCATATTTCATGCTCTACCTCTTCTCTTGCTTCTAATATTTTCCTCCATACATGTGGGCCCTCTTTAAACTGTACCATAGTAGGTAGTTCCTTTTTACAGTATTTGTTCCACATGAAGTTGGACCATAAGGATTTAGTTGTTCTGAACATCCACCACAACATAGCAAATAAATCTCTAGACATATTAAATAAGGATCTAAACCCTAATCCACCCTCCTATGTAGGCAAACATAGGTTTTGCCATTTGGTCCCGTGCATCCTTCTTCCTTCCTTATTTCTGATCCAAAAGAATCCAATAAAGGTTTGGTGCAAGTGCTCCAGGATGTTGTTTTGCGGATCAAACACTAATGGAATATGAGTAGGCATGCTTTAAAGTACACATGAGATAAGTGTTGCTTTTCCACCATAAGACAGAAGCTTCCTTTTCCAAGAATGAAGTTTAGCTTTCACCTTCTTAATGAGATCATCATAGTAATCTTTCCTCCTCCTTATACAAACGATAGGATAGCCAAGGTAGGTAAAAGGAAATTCAACTCTTGTGAAGCCACTAATACCTCCAACTGAATTGAACAGTGCCCCAACCACATTAAAGTGCATATAGAAGGAGCTCTTAGACTTGTTAATTAGTTGGCCATAAGTGTGCTCATACTTTGTCAGAACCTCTACAATCATCTTTGAGGAGTAAGGACCGGTAGAAACAAATATAATGGTGTCATCTGCATAATCTAAGTAGTTCAAAAGACATGTCCCATTTGGCATTCCATAACTAACAAACCTCTTATCTTCAAATAGCTTGTTCAAAGATTTTGAAAGTACTTCAACTGAAAGAATGAACAAGGCAGGAGAAAGAGGATCACCTTGCTTTACCCCCCCCCCCC